TAGTAGTAGTAGTAGTGGTAGTGATGTGCGTACGGGTCGTAGTAGTAGTAGTAGTAGTAGTAGTAGTAGTGGTAGTGATGTGCGTACAGGTCCTAGTTACTTATTGGTTTATTTTCTTGTATTTTGTGTTTTGATCCTCTACGTTATGTTTTTGCTTTTCGTTCTTTCATCTGGCAGCCAAAATCTCCTCGGGCGACATGCGACAGATTTGTGAAAACGACTGGAGGGGGGTCGAGGATATTACCTTTTCTGCATGGTCCCCTAGACACAGACCAAGACGCTACTGGCCTCCGGCTTCGGTGGATCAAGTCGTGCAGGAACCGCGGCTAATCACTAATCCCGTTTCATCACTGAGCCTCAGGAGGTCGAAGCGATCGACTTGGCAAACAATGAGCTGGGACATGTAGGCCGTGCCGGATTTGTTCACGTGTACAAGAAGTAATGTGCAAGGGCTGAGACTTTGTTCGTTGACTGTGACAGGCATGGGTCACCTGGCTCGAGCCCTGTGCCACCGCTCCCTGGCGCAGCTGCGGCGTTTGGATCTCTCGGCCGCTTTGCCTTCGAACCTCCTGGACTTCGGGAGCTAGACAAAGAGAGAGGGGGGTGCTTCGAGGGAGGGAGCGGGCTGGAGTCCAAGGCGAATGCGCTGAGCGACGAGGCGGCCTGCCGCCTGGCACAAGGCTCCGACGCGCTCCACACGTGCCACACCATGCTGCGGAGCTTCCGAGGCTTTCTAGGTTAAGCGTTTCAAGATGTCTCAGGGTTCGTGGCGTGGTAACGGGCAAGGCAGAAGGTGAGGAAACCGACAATCGTTGCAACTTTATGCAGACAAGCTGGACACGTGGTCGTTATGAGTTTCATCGCTCTGAGTCCAAACAAGCTGCATCGACAGGACTTCAGCATTGCCCTCGACTTCTGCGACTGGATTTACGAAATAACGCGATCCAGGACTTCCTGCGAGTTTGAAGGGTCTGTGGTGTCTTGGATGTCTTGGCTACCCCGAAGGATGGACATGCCCTGGGTGAACTCATCGCCGGTCACGGCAATATGACAAGGCTAACGGGCCGGTCTAACATGGTGGAAGCGCAAGTTGATTTTTGGACAACACAGTCCGCTTGCGTCCGCTCAGTCAGCACTGGTAGACTCGCGAGTCCCTTGGATATGGCGTGAGCTCGGACAGGCTCTCGTTGAGAAGGAACCGTCTCGCAGGCGGCTTGAGGGTTACGGGATGGCAGAACGATGCCTGGGAGAGCTGCGAAGCAACCAACAAGCGAACCTGGCTGGAAAGGTTTTGGCATGGCAGCCCTTTTCAACGGGATCTTGGAGAATGCTCACCGAGGACGTGCACGAGAGCACGCCAGTCGGAAAGCTGTCGAAGTTAGTCTTCTGCTCGCCCTTGCCCCTCTGCAATTCCCTTCTGACCGGATGAAGGGTTTTCCGAATCACGACCGTCGCAGAGCTTCAACGTGCAAGTGCACAAGACTGTACATGCAGGCGGGCAGCTGGCAGATGTCGACGTCGCCTGGAACCCACTTGCTCAAGATGGACCTCTTGCCGCGAAAGCCATCGCCACTGTCTTTCGGGACATTGCTTTGTCAGCCTTGTTGGCTGCTTTACGAGTTTTGAGATGCTGGGGTAGATTCTCCCACAGGAGTCCGCGACTTTGTATCATTGCGATCTCAGCTACTGCTGCCTGGACTCTGCCAGCTGCGCGCTCCTCGGAGAGGGGCTACGTGACAACCATTCCCTGTATGGCTTGCATGTCGTTGGAGTCTGGCCTGCATTGATGTTACATGTTGATGTGCCACAGCTCCGCTCGCTTCCCCCTCTGAGATTTTTCCCGACTCGTGTTAGCCGAGCCAGACGGATGCCTGTGCACAGAATGCCTTTCGGAACCTTCAGCCGCCATCAGGCGCCACCACGTTGTCGTTGAAGCTTGCTGTTTGCATGTTCGACTTCAGCGTCAGCAGTGTGAATTCGAGGACTCAGTTATGTCATCGAACAAATGTTGAATGTGGTGTCCCTCAGACATCGCGCTGTGATTGTGCCACTCAGGAAATGCAGCAACCATGGATGCAGACGGATTTCTGACACCACTACAGAAAGTGGGTCCTATTCCTCCAGATGCAGACAACAAACGAAGCTTGTCGTCATGTTCAAGGCAAGCGAAAAGGGTGACTGCGTTTGTTGCGCTTTTAGTTCAGAGCAGAATATACCTGAGGATCAGTGGTCTTTGGCAGTGTCCAGCCCGGGCCAGAGGCTCCGAGCTGAGAGAGTGTTGCCGCGGTTAAAGACAGCAGCAACACAAGTGAATCTGAGCCACAAGAAGCTTACATGTCTTAGTCTTAGTCTCGTCTTTTGTGCGCATGTCGTACCTGAAGTTGTCGTGGGCTCTTGTGTGTGTGTGTGTGTGTTTAATTTTGTGTGTATGTGTGTCTTCTGTGTGTGTGTGTCTCTGGGGTTGTTTGTTTGTATCTCAATTTGGGAAGACGGTCTTTCCCGACTTCAGCATTGTCACGCAATACCATGTCAGGGGCCACAAGATCCTGTTTAAGTTCTGTTGTTTGGTATACGGAAGCAGCCTGTGACAACGAAGCTGCATCAAGGGCACACGAAGGCAACAAAGCCATTTTGCCATGAGGGTTTCTCCGCCGTGATAGACGGCACGTCCTCACCTCTTTTCAACTGGGGAAAGCTAGCGTTCAAATCTTCCTCTCGGAGGAATTGGATCTGTGCGTGAACTAGACAACATTTCCAGGAGTAACTGTTGCAGCACATGGTTCTGCAGCTGTCTCCTTGTCTATCTCCTCTGCTGTCAGTGAGTCTGTACTCATAAAGAAAGCGCCAGACAGGGGTGTGAAGACTGCTGCAGGTCTGCATCTGCACTCTACATGGGAGCTTCAGCATCAAACGTCATTGGAGTTTCTCTCAGGGACCAGAGAAGTTTAGCTCCGATCACACCGACATAAAGTGGCAATTGCGGGCGGTTTACATATATACATATATATACATTGCAGCAGTATGTAAAGATGACGCAGCAGCACATCGGACGCATCTCCTTCCCGGCTCTGCGTACTTTCAAAACTATTCACAAGGCCAGGGTTCTTGCAGCAAAGAAGCCATCAGTGGCCGCATTGACTTATGAGGCCGTTTCTGGTTTGCTTGGCATCAGATTTGGCAGAGCTTGGCGCTCGGGCCGCTGAGGCACTGCTGGGTGCTCAGGGGTTCGGTGCCGACGACCTCAACGGCCGCGACGTGCTCGCAACGTGGCTTAGACGTTCCGATGGCAGTGCGAGTCACAAGGGATTTTTGGAAATAGCTTTCAAAATTCAAGGAGATGAAATCTGCCTGCTGGGCCTGCGAGGGCTGGATCAGGCAAGAGATTCTCGGCGTTGACTGATGCCATGCAGCTTTCTGTGACACGTCAGCAGATAGGCAGCTGCTAAGTCATCCAAGCGCCAGCGCCGCACAACGAGGATTGAGTGGCCCTACGATCCTGGAGAGGCCTGGTAGCAAAGAGCAAAGTGGCGTTTGGGAGCCGATCACTGGAAACTGGAAACCTCCAAGGCTCCTCCCAAAGCGGTTTGGGCTTTCACGGGCTTGGACTCCTTTCGACGCGCCCTGCGGCTGAGACCGGAAGCAGGCAGAAACAGAGAGCTTAGACTGCGAGACTGCGAGACCCAACCCTTGTCAGGCCACAGGCCTTGCTTCAAGGCCGCGCGAATGGTGCCTCCTGGACACAGGTGGAGTGTCAGAGCAGAAGCACTCTGAGCACCACATCTCCGCTGCAGGCTCCAAGTCATCTTTCAGGTTGACTCCAAGATCCAGCTTCCCGGCTCTGAACAAGAGTCTCACACTAGTGAAATTCTTTGATGTGGAGCACGAGCTGTGGGTTCAGAAATGTTCAGAAGCTGACTTGTGTGTGAACACACGCTGCTTCTTGTGACTTTGCCCTCAACTCAGGCTTCTTCCCGGAGCTCGGGACAAGCTGGTGGTGCCTGCAGAGTTAACTCTTCGCATCTGCCAGGCGGAAGACCGATTCTACAACGATTCAGGCGTAAGTTATCCTTGAGCCCTATCGCCGAGCAGGGAGCTCCATATGTTTCGATGAGAGCGTTCTTGGTGGTTGCGGCTTTCGTGCATTTGATGGGTGGGAGCAGGAGTTGCCTGAGCTGGCACCAGATCCCGATCAGGTGATTTGCCAGGGTCTTACGTCTTACATACTGCTTGCAAGGTATCGCGACCATTGCAGTGTCGGTGAAGTGCTGCTGGAGTATGTACGTACCTTTCACTACTGCGAAGACATGGAGCAATCCGCCGGGCAGCGTCGAGCCTTCATTGCTGATGCGTGGTGGCACAGTTGCACACATTGCAAAAGGAAGGCACGGATCAAAGTCCGTCTGAATCTAAATCAGGACTGTCTATCCCGACGGACAACGCATTCCGTTTACAGCTTGCAGATTTCATCGAAATCACTACTGCCGAGATTTTGTCGTTGAAACAACAGATCAAAAAGCTCGAGGCACGCCTCGAGCAAGCATCCCATGCAAGCCTTGAGCCGACGCTAACGCATATAACGAGCACCTGCAGAAGCAAGATTGCACTCATTGCCACTGACAGGTGCAGGCAAGTGTACGACTTTGCATTCAGTTCTTTGGATGGTACCCCGCAGCCATTTTCAAGCAAACATGGCATTTCACACACCAGCAACACAGCATCATGTATTTGACAATGGATCTTTTTCTGGGAGTTCGTAGCATTCGGCATTTGGCCCGCCGGACAGCAAGACGGATGAGAAGATGCAGTCACATCATTCACAGCATGCCAAGATCAACAAGAAGAAGAACAAACAGAACAAGAAACGAAAGAAGCAGAAGAAGCTTCCCAAAAAGCGAGTCTTCTGGATCGACAATGCCACAAGAAGAACACCGTGACCACAAGCTCATCAGCATCCACTACATCTTTCGGAGATGAACACTTCCCATATGAGATGATCATGATGAGAGCTAGCTAGCACCTCAAAACAGCCCAAACGCTACACAGCCTGCGCCAAAATGTTGGTCAGAGCTGGTTAGCGATGTGCATGCCACTTCATTCCTGTTTCACAGTGCCCGATTCGAGTTTTTGCACCATAACGATCCCAACGGACAGAGTTACAGGTGCCCCAAAGGCGCTGTGTGGGTGTGGATTTCCCTGATATATACATGGGAACAGAGAGTCACCTACATGTTGCCATTTTACATAACCGATTCTTTTGCATGCAGAGTGATTCAAAACAGAAGGGGGCCAGGAACCCCACCTGTCCTGGCCAACGAAGAGCAGGTGATGTGGGGGTGAAAACGTACCTGCGAGATGCTGGGGCCCCTGAGCCACTTGTAACAACAGCAACCCGCCAACCTGCTTTGCTTTTCCAGACCTGGTCCCTTGCCGGAATCCATCAGGATGGATGCACGGACGGAAGGATGGATGGATAGATGTACATAAATGTAACATTATGTAACTGTATGTATGTATGTATGTATGTATGTATGTATGTATGTATGTATGTATGTATGTACATGTATGTATATGTATGTGTATGTGTATGTGTTTGCGTGCACATACGGATAAGGCTATGCATATGTATATTTGTATATGTTACAGGTTGTACGCATGCATACACATATTCTTGCCAGATGTGCCTGACAAGATATGCCTGACATGTATGGCCAAGGTTCAGAGAGCTCTCCACGCTCCGGTCGGCCAGTTTTCATCGCCAGCATGTCCGAAGCGAGTGTGGTCGAGAGGAGGCAGCTTCTGATGGGCCCAGAAAGAACCGCGCGGCATGAGCACCGGCAACTGCCACTGGATCTACCATGAGGATGGCCCACGATGATGTGACATCAACTTCTTCGTGCCGAGCATGCCGAGGGGTCATTGCCTCAAAAATGTTGCAGCAGCCGCTGTATGTACTTCTCGCACGGACTAGGATAACTCGGACGAGAAACATCGTGAGAGCTATAAAGCCTGGCAGGTGGTCACAGATGGCCCAGCGGATGGCGATGCAGTGCTGCTCCCTCGCGTCACAGAAGCGGAGTTCAAAGCCAAGGCACATCCGCAGCACGCAACATTCAGCAAGTTGCAAGTCACCGACTGCTTTAGGGCACAAGTAAAAACATCACTGGTACCAGTGCTCGGGCACTAGCAAGCAAGGCTTCTTGAAACCGGGCTCTGGAACTGTCTTTATGAAGCACACTGAAACTAGAGCTTTCTTTGTGTAGCACAAAGCAGCATGCTTCGATCTCAGGCCAAGCGTTCGCCGCCGTTCTGGAGCACCTTCAAGAAGGAGTCTTTGCCATTTGCCACTGCTTAGCCATGAGGGAGCCGCATATGCATAGCAACCAAGGGACCGAGGGATCCCTGTCAGTGCACGAGAGCAGTGCTGTTGCAAGTGCTCAGGTCTTTGCGCAGGCCGGCTTTTGGCTCCTGTGCCACCGCAACATGTGCACTTCAAAGAGCGCAGTAACGGTCGGATACTTTCTGGCGTGTTCTCAGGACAGGAACCGGGATCGTAGATTCATCGCTGACAATCTACCACTCAGTTCAACAATCGATGCTCTCTTCATGAGTTGGTTTGTCAAAGATGTCTGATGTTCAGGCTAACCGGTCTCCGTCAGAGCCTCAAGCACAAGTTAGACCCAAAGTCGCCACGCGGACAGGGAAGCACTTCGCACCGACTGGCTTCGGTGCCGACTGGGACACGTTGCGGGAAGCTCGGTCGGTCTTATAGCATGTACCGGTCAGCAGGCTGAGGCAGGCTGATGATGTGTTGCTGCTCGTGTTGCCGGCAAAACCCAAGCATTTCTGTAGGTGTGTGTTCAATGTCCGTCTTTGTTCTTGCTGCAGGTTCCAGATTCTGAGATTGAGGATATCAAGAAGGCGTGCCCAGTGGTTTGGCAGACCACGTGGGGACTCCGTCATGGTCAACATTGAAGACAAGGGCGAACAAAGCACGGCAGACGGCCAGGTATTGCCAGGCTTCATCAGATGTATGAATACTGACATCTCTCAGCAGTCCAGTCTGCGTTCAGAAAGCCCGGATTGAAAGTGCTGAGGCCGCTGGGGGTCAATGTCTTTCCATGCAGTGAGAATATAGATCAAGCCATTGATGAACACTGTTGCTTCAAGTCGCCGGTGAGGCAGAGCTGGAGTTCAGTCCATGTAGTGACTAGTGCATGAGAGGCTATGGAACCTCACTATGGTTGGCTGTCCTGGCCTCAGAGCATCTTCGTTGTTGAGACTGCTGGCTGCATCGATCTGCCTGCACATGGCCGGTGGTCACATCGCCACCTGACTTGCACTGCGGTCTGATGAAAGGACTTTCTCGACTGAGGATGTGCCTCTACCGCAGGGTCTCGTCCCTTGATGCGTGCCTTCGCTGCGGTTAGAAAGATGTTGGCATTCGCAGATGTTAATGTTGAGCAGTGACAGCAGCTTCTTGCAGGACAGTCTTGGTTTGACTTGGGGCGGGTTTTGTCTGTTGTTCAGGTTGGCTTGTTTTGTTGTTTATTAGTTAGCGCAGTTTTTGGATTCGACTCGGACAGGCCTTGAGGATGCAGGGATAAGCGGCTGTGCCTGTCTTCTGGGCCCGCAGGGTGAACCCTCACCCATGAATGGTCAGATATTTAATTCAGAGGGATTTCTTGGGTGGGTTTGGGATTCGTTGGGACAGCTTGGGAGTTGACGTGCCCCTGTTTAAGAATGATCCAGGATCCAGGCTCTGTGAACATCTGCCTTCCAAGCCACTTGCGCCAACGACCCACTTTGGAGCTTGGTGCCGTAACAACCCAATAGGCGGAGTGCCCCGCAAGCTGTCGCATTTTCGGAAGCGTCGAGATCCTTGGACTCTTTAGACTTCAGACTTTCTGAATGACGATCGTCTTGGCGCGAAGATCCTGAAATCGCTGAGGTCTGGGGAGATTGGTTTCGGCATCAGCCAGCTACAGGCAGGAGCGGACGGGAATTTTCCTGCTGGATGCGAGAACTCGGCACGATGCCATTGATTGATCTTGTCTCTGCACGGAAGCAACTTCCCGGTGGCAAGGCCGGTGAGCTGATGTCCGGCTGTGGAATCTGCGATGGCACCACGACCAAGGTGCCTAAATCTTGCAGAAAGCTGCTCCCAATGCCCCCCGCATCATCCTGCTGCCTCAGCCAGCAAGTATCAAAACTTTTGAATACAACTGCGCACTCCTAAGGTAATGTCCCCAGTGTACGAGTACTCGCATTCTCTCTGCATCTCCGTCCCTCCCAAGTAGAGGAGCTTGGCCACCTACCGCTCACCAAACTGAAGCCCCAGCAACGGTCCACAGGTGGCGGACATAGATCGGTTCTTCATTGCGGCCAAGGTCACACCCGCTGAGATGAAGAAGTGCCCCGACTCCTGAAGAACACGAGCTGGTCGGCTTTCCGAACTGCCGCCAAGAACGTGCAATCACAAACAGCAGTCGCAATCGTGCATGAAGCAGACAGAACTTGCAAGACCGTCGCAGGCAGCCGGAAGAAACACACCAAATGTCGAACATTCCAGTCGGCACGTTGGCGAAAATGACCAAGAAGTGCTGCGCTATGTCGTTGGACTCAGCAACGTCCAGAATCTTGAGAAGTCAACGTGGCAACACTCTCTAAACCAGTTGTCCGCTCCGCGACAGCTGGGGTGTGCACTGATCTCTTTACACCACGCCCCGTGTCACGGAGCTTTCATACGTGCACAGGGGCCTCTGTAGAGAACGGCGCCCCATCTCTCAAGAGCAGCTTGTGAAACAACATCGCAGGGCTTGTTGCACAGCTCATCGAAAGCCGGAAGCTCACGATGCTTCCACTGGTACTCCGACGCGAATGCCAGATTTCGGGTGGGACAGAACTTACTGAGCTGCAGGCGAGTAATGGTGTAAAGGCCCTGTTGTATGTCATGTACCAGGTATACAGAGGAGATGTGTGGGCATCAACCTCCAGTAAGTACGGCGAGTGAAGCCGAAGCATCGCAAAGCACTCAGCAGCCCAGAATGCCCAGAAGGGAAATCGACAGGCTACCAAGCAGTCACGCGCGCCACTGCGCGACAGCTAGCGAATGATGACTTGCGGGAATTGCACACTTCTACACCTTTGCTGACGAGCGAAGCAAGACCTTTGCGAAGTGCATCATTGCTGTTTTCTGGGACTTGGTAAGACATCAGAGCTGCATGTCCGGAAAAAAAATCGATGCAGTGCAGGCTGTTTGTGGCTTAGGAAACAAGCAACCCACTGGCCATACATCGACAATGCGGCTCACATAAACCGTCGCAAAGATAAAACCTAGCAGTTCCGCAATGAAAGGCGATGAACAATCAAAGCCACACGTGACGAAGGCTTCTTCATTGAACTGTCAACCTACGAAACGGCCTTCATGGGTGCTAGCTAACTATCAGAATCAGCGAACATGGTCAGTCTTGTTCGACGAATCTACGGAATAAACGCTCGTCCTGCGGGGACATCCGCGCAGTGTGGCCTGGCAAACGCTCGACCTTTTCGTGACGTGCCCGGTTGCATTTGCTGGCAAGGGCTGAAGCCCAGGATGCGGTTCTGCGACATACTCCAAGAACCAAATCTCAAAAGCAGCATTCAGCATTGATTCAGCCGAAAGAGTCCAAGACCGAGGACGATGGCAATTGTCAATGACAAGACCCTCGTGCGCTACGAGTTTCTGGAGTTCCTTTTGCGTACGGATCCTACCAGCTTTTGCGTTCGCAGTGCGCTTGATGTGCAGTGTCTCATAATGCACAGCTTCATAGCTTCTGTCTTTTCTTTTCACGATCCAAATCATCCGCTAATCCCCATAATAACACTATTCCTGAGGTGTCCGTGCAAGAGAGTGGTCCATACCTGGCGACCATGCCAGGTGTGGCTAACCATCACTTTTTCAAGTCTGGAGCTGCGTGCTCAGACTGCGAGAGCCAATGATGCCCCGAAGTGGTCCGTGATGTCTTGGAGTTTGCCTGAGCTGCCTCTGAAGATCCGTAGCCAGAGCCATCCCAATTCATTTGAGCTCATTTTGGCGGTTCTAACCGAGACTTGCGTTGAAGTTCGCGTCGAAGTTCGCGTCGCTGCTGTCTTGCCGGCTCCGTCTGCTCGGGCCCAGGCTGCGACTTCCATGGCCGAGGCCCAGGGCCCAGAGGGCATCCCAGGGCCTCCCGCGGTTGTGCTGCGTGGTGTCTCGGGGCCGCGCGCTGGGATGTCGTAGGCGCTAGGACTCGACATGGATCACCCCAGTGGACGTCGCATGCTCGTTAAAAACACTGGCACCTTCCACGCCACATCCACGGAAGGCTCTGGGTAGATCCGTTCTTCATACCAATGCGAACTGTCTTCAGGCCATTGCACTCTTGCTCCAGACATTGGAAGCAGAGGGCAGGCAAGGCAAAGCTTTCGGAAATGCGCTGTTGCCATGTTGGGGAATGCAGGCGAAACTGCTGAACACAAGCAGTGAATAACCAGGGGAGAGTTTCGAGCGTCTGCTGCAGTGCAGCGCCCTGGGCACGAAAGCCCCAAGGAGGATCAATGATGCCTTTTCCAATCATTCTAATCACTGTTAGCTGCAGGAAGATGGAAAAGGAAGTGACCGACTTCCTGGAAGCGCTATGGGTGGAGGCATGGGGGAGAGTCGTGTTGACAGTCTGGATCTGGATACGGCCATGCATACACCCAGAGAGTCCCAGCCTGAACAGATACGTCCGGTCGGTGTGTGTGAGAGAGAGAGAGAGAGAGAGAGCGAGAGCGTAAGCAAAACGGAAAGGCACTCAACTGCTGTCACGTATGATTTTGTGCAACCACTCGCAGGGGCTCCAGAAGCATTGCCCTATGCGTCGGACTGGAATGCAGGGTATTCGGGAGCAAGCAGACTCGTAGTCTCAGACAGCGGGGTGAGTTCCGCAAAATGCTCGACTTTCGGAAAAACGCTGTGATTGCTTTGTTCACGTCGTCCACAGCATCCTAAAATATGCTAAGCATGCTTCGCACCTGGTCCTTCTCGGAGAGAGACCGACAGAGAGCGACCACAAGCCTGGAGTCCGGTTGTGAGTGAGAGCATGCAGGTCGGCCGGTAAAGACAGCCTCAGAGTTCCGCTCTATGGTCGACGCAGGCGGTGGATGACCTGTACAAGAAGCACGTGGACATGCTGGCCAGTGCGTATAAGGGCATTCTATCAACGTGACAAGTGCTGTGCATCAAGACTGTGCGGTAGGAAGGGCGGGCTGGGCTGTGTTAGCTGCCGTGCTTTCAGCAGCTCTCCGCAAGTAAGAACGTTGCAGATTTGCGAAGGTAGGGGGTGGGCTCTCTCCTTGCAGCTGCTTGGTTGGTTTCCATCTTGCTCCTCATGGGAGAAGTGTGGAACCGTTAGTCCTGCAGTCACGATGCAGAGTCTCAGCGCAAGAGTTCGGGATGTGAGGTGCTCCTGGGGTCCTGAGCAGGTGAGCACAGGATCGAGTCTATCGCACAATCCCGGAATGAACCAGCTCTCATTTGCCCAAAGCAGAACATCGTTGTAACACCTTGAGGGCGCCGTGTACAAGCGGTTCTACGGATCAAAGACGCCCCCGGGCAAGCCGAAGTTCATGGTGCCTTGTCAAAGCCATACATCGCGTCCTTCAGGGCTTGTGGTGATCGGGCAGAAGAGCCTTCAACAATTGTCGTGATTGGGTCAGTTTCTTGCAATGGAAGATGCAGGTTCGGCCTGCGTATCATTATTTGGACAGATGTTACAGACAACTCTTTGCAAAGGTCAATGTGGACTGTGACGCAGGTCGTGATTGATGTAGACCCCGGATTATGAAAAACCTTTCTGAAAAGGCCTCAATACTAGGATCCCTATTGTCGTGAGAGGGGTTTATTTGCTGTGCTGTGCTCAGGAGGGTCAGGTGAGTTACTTGCAGCTGGTACGAGCGAGAGAGAGAGAGAGAGGTCACACTCAGCATCATTCAACCCTGCTGTTGATTGCCACCGCTAGCTTAAGCTGAGGCAGCCTTGTTGCCTTTGCCAGCCTTCCTTGAGTCCAAACATTCGTGATGTGAGGCACTCGGAGAGTTCCAGTCTCTGATGGCGGCGTCCCCGGATCCAGAGTGCAGCTTCGGGCCCTTACACTGCCTGCCTGCCCGTCGCTTTGGCCGGAGCTGTCTGTGATGATGCTTGGAGTACTTGCAAGGAGGTGGCCGACGTGCATGCCACAGGCGCGTGTTCAGCGTTGCTAGTGCTGCCGAGTAAGCGCAATCTCGCGAGAGGCGGTGCATCACGCACGAGTTGGGGTCACGTTAGTCGAGTCATGACATAGCACTCGGTTGTCTTAACGCTGAGTTTGAAAACAACACGGGCCCATTGCATGAAGTGATTGCCGGCTCGGCGCATGACCCCAGTGAGTAAGACCTATATCGACGCATGACGCTCCAATCAATTGCCGCCCTTCTTTGCAGGCTTTCAAGCGAGACAGTCAGCGCTGGCTTTTCGGATGGGTGACCTGGACAATCTGCGCTTTCTGAGATGTAAGGCCTATGCGAACCATAAACTGAACTCAGACAACTCAGGCATGATGTCGCAGCCTGACGAGACTGGCTCCTCTCGATTTCAAGAGATGTCGTTCCTTGGCCGTTCGCTTGGGAGTCCGGGCTGCATGTGCCGACAGGCCACAGTCAGGCCTTGACATTTTATGCGGCAAGGGCTGGATTCCACGACTGCTATGCCTGCCTGCACACGGTGCATATCAGGTTCCTGGAGTTTCAGATGGCACTTGGTGCAGTTGTACCTCTGCTTCCATTAGCATGAGCACTTCACCCAATTGATGGGTGTGTTGACATGTCATCGGACCTGTGGTCAGCGTACTGCAGCTTTGCAAGAATGGCAGGACGGCGGTGTCACTGCCTGTGCACTAAAAGGCATCATTCATGGCCAAATAGACAGCCGCCCCTTTGGAGAAAATGTTTGGTGCCTAGAATGCCCGAGATACAGGCCTGTGATAGAATTTCTGCGGGGCATGCACGATAGGAGGACAAGGTGATAGGGATGAACCTTTCAGGCAGCAGTGGTTCCTGAGGCGTTCCTTATGGCTGAAGGCAAGGCAGCTCAGACGCTGTCGAACCTCAAACGCCACTTGCAGTGCAGTTCATGTTCTTACAGAATTTCTCGATTTGATCTTCCTCTGCCTGGGATACTGAGAGCGAGTGGCACGGAAAGCAGCTCTTTGGAGCTGCAAGCAGCCGTCCATTGCCCGGGAAAAGTGCAGGCGAGCTGGAACACTGCAGCCAACCCTTTGCCAATGCTTGAGCGATGTCTTTACCCCCTGTCACAGATTGGTTCGAGGGCCCGTAAATCAGGCTTCCGAAGGGCCGACAGTCGCTAAGTTGCCAATGTAAACTTAGCGTAAGACCCGACGCGTGGGGTCTTTCCGAAAGAGGCCGTGTTGAACCAATGCAGACATACGACATGCTCAAACGGGCTCGAACGCATCTTAGCTTCACGCGGCCCAGGTCTTTTTGGATTGTTGTCGGCCGTCTTCAAGGGCAAGGCCTGTGCCGAGATGCGCATTCATTACAATGACACGACCACGAGGTGGACATGACATGACTGGTGCCGTTGCTTCACTGGCCGAGGACAAAGCAAAGAGGTGATGGTGGGTCTGATCCAGTCGGGCGACATATTGGCACAGGTGCTTGCTCGTACGGCAGAACGCGGGTAAAATTCAATTTCTACCAGAGACTGACGCATACTCCTTAAGTGTAAGTGTATTACAGTGAGGCGGTGGCTCGGCCAGGATTTAGTTTCCTTTTTTGCCGACACCCATTGCAAGGACAAGATTTCTGCAGTTCTGTCTAAGACAGATCTGTGTGATTTCACCAGGGCCGACTGCTCAAAGCAACGTGGAGAAATCAATGCGACAATTCCAGAAGGTTTCACACAACAACTTCAAGCACAGGGCATGAGTGGATGGTCCACCCCCTCCCTGCATCAATGGCATGCACAGAGAGCCTGAGACCCGCGGGTGAACTTGCTTCTATTCTTCGACAAACTTGTGTCCCAACAGCTGCATTCCTCTTGTGCAGGCTTGACGGGCGACTGTTTGCCTGGAGAGGTCGGGGCCTTGCGTGCTCCAGAGGACCATCCGCGGCGTTGGAGCTCCTGCCTCAGGCTGCTGCTCGGGCTCGAGTTCGTCGTGCCAAGAGTGTGATGCTCAGTTGACGGCGTTGTCTTCCCAAAGCGGTACTGTAAGGGACCAGCGGTCACGTTATGGAGTTCCAGATTTGCACGCCGTGGTGCAAGCAAATGTTGCGTTGGTGACAGCTGGTTCCAATCTCGTTCCGCCTGCCCTGATGTGCCGTCCGCGATTCTCTGCTGAGGCATGGAGGTTGTCCGAGCCTTACGCAGTCTGCCGCAAATGCTTTCTGATTTCGAAGTCTGAAGTGCGATCGTCATCCATTCGCACCAGCCCCCTCAACCACACTGGGTGGCCAACCCATAGCATCTAGTCTATGCATCCATCCATGCATGCATGGATGCATCCTTATGTATATATATATATATATATACATTTGTATGTGTAAGTTGTCCATATTATATATGTATATATACATGCATGCCACCCCTCTCATGAATCTACCGTCTTCGTCTTTGTGAAGCCAAACCATCTAGTACGTGGGTATGAGACGAAGCGGAAGCGGTGTGTATGTGGAGTTGTCAGATGGTGACACTGCAGGGAAAAGGTGGTGGAGGCCAGGTTCCCAAAGAATTGCCTTCCTACCTCCCTGCCCACCTGCCTACCCATCCGTCGTTTATTTACAGACAATCAAGGACCTAAGGAGGAAGCGAGTGTATTGAATTACTTTTGTGCATTGTCCATTCTGTGACCTCGATGGAATGCCCAACGCACCGGGAGGTCCCTAGAAAAGATACAATCTTTTCAGGGCCACCTGGCATGTCCGCCCCGTAAGCAGTGCTGATCCTCAAAATTGAAAGCTCCTCGAAAGGACTTGGTTTAGCAGTCCAGCTGCCTCAAAAGGAAAATATATCATGCATTGTGCTCAATCCCTCCGACATCATGCTGGCTTGCTGCCGTCAGTCACCTAGCCGTCGCAGCACAGGGCCGTGCGATAGTGCCCGTGCAACATGCTTTACCCTGCGTGATAATATAGCAGTAGTAGTAGTCGTAGTAGTAGTAGTAGTAGTAGTAGTAGTAGTAGTAGTGGTAGTAGTGGTAGTAGTAGTAGTAGTAGTAGTAGTGGTGGTGGTGGTGGTGGTGGTGGCGGTAGTAGTAGTGGTAGTAGTA